TCAATCTGCTACACACAGGAAAAAATTTCCCAGAGAATACTTCAAGAAAATAAGATATTGCTCACTACTTTTAAAATGGCTTTCTACACATATCTTGATTTCTAATACAAACATAATTAAAATATGCTAGATGTTCTTTTTAAATGTCATCCTTAATGTCATTCATTTTTTAACTGAAACTGGAAATTATTGTGGGTTTATCAGTTTTATTGCCTGGTTTGACTTTGCTGTGTTCATTGATGGCATAGCTGACTTTCATTATTGAGAATTATGTGGCAGTAGACAACAATCACCTAAAGAAAAGGCCATGAAATTATCTGAAATAATATTAAGGGGTGAATTTGATGTCCAGCATGTTCCGACATCTTTGATAGGAGATGACTTTCTAAATGCCTTCAATTTCCAGAATAATAGAATAATAGAGAATAATACTTGGTCTCTAAAAGAGACCCTCTGATTTATTTACTAGCGTTTCTTGAATTAAAAGCTGAGAATTTCAAAATATCCTAACAAATAGAGGCAGCTCAGTCCCTCTGGAAGTCTATGTATGTGAGCAGTTCATAAGATGTCACAGTTCCGTAACCCTTGACCAAGCCTTGCTTAATCTTTTGGCAAAGGTTCATTACCTCCTCATGAAGGAGTCAATCGCTCATGAGGCTGTAGATCCCTGAAGGATGGAGTGTCTGAGAAAATCCTGCCCTGCCAAACTAGTCCTGCACTAATTTATGGAAGACCTGTCTTTGATTTCAACTTTGATTTTCAACTACTGTCAAGTTGTCCCTTCCTCCTTCACTTTTCTGTATGACTTCTGGCGGTGACTTGACTAACAAGTGGGCTGTTGAGAATTACCCATATATGGTATTATTGTTTTTCTTCACTTCTTAGGTGTCAGTCTACGAGTTCCTTTCTGTTGCTCTTTGGGCAAAAGATTGCAAATGATTTAGGGCCATTATGCCTGTCTGTGCTTTCAAAGCATTCTGCTTTTTCTCTGAGAGGAAAGTTTTCCATTTGTTGAGGGAGGCCCTAACGAAGAGCAGGACCTACGTGAAAACAGGGTTCTGAAGTTCTGTAGTAGAGATTGCTTGCTGGCACAAGGCACAGGCAAGTGTTTGCAGCTGTTTCATGTAGCCTACTGCAGCCTCTGAGACACATAAGCATGTTGACACCTGTCTGAATCTCCGATTTCCATAGAGCAACAGCTCTTTCTGCTTGTCACAGTCCATGGGGACCGAGAGAGCAGGGACCTTCTTTCGTGTCAGGAAGCGTTCATGTCCTGCTCTTTAGACTTCATACACAAGAGCTACTAAAATACCTGTACTAATATTTTTGATGCCATAAAGCTTGATTATTGTAGTAGGATTAGCCTTTAAATACTCAAACATACTAAACAGAATGCCAGAGTGCAAAGAACGTCCCTTTTTTAATTACTGCATAAATTAAATCTTTCCATTCTTGGGAAGCCACTCTGAATTCCTCTCTGCTAGAGGATTCACTGTAAAGACTTGTTATCTATTATAATACAGGATTTTCCAACTGAAAATGGCTACCCCCCTGTAAGAAGTCAACTTGTTACAGCTCTGATGGTTGTCCCCAGCATGTAAGCCCTCACAGACCTTAGTCAGTACTGGCTGTCACTTGGATTATCTGCAGCCTCAAAATGTGGCCTACAAAGATGCCCAGATGACAGAGAACAGAGTCACGCATGAACAGCTAGGCTTCTTAGCTTAAGCTTGTTGACACACCAGTTGGAGGCAGAGGCAGCAGTGATGGTCCAAGACAGGGGAGGTGGTAGCATGAGGATGAAGTGACAGTGATGACAGTAGGGCAGGACTATGGGCCAGGTTCAGTAGGAACAAAATAGCAGAAGCTGTAAATGAGAGAAACAGTTAGACCATGGCAACAGACATTGGGCATATCCTCAAATTGTTTTTGTCACTGCCTGGATTGTAACAGCAGTAAATTCTTCATATATTTCACAAAAAATTCTTCTCCTTGTGCTATTATACAGGAAGATCTATACAGATGATTATTTCCTATATTCCACTAATTTTCTTAATAGCATGAAGACTTTGCTGAGAACTACCATGAGTCCTGCCTCAGTCAAACCTTGTTTATTTGAGGATAACATAGTCCTGAATAAAGAAATCAGTACTAACTTCAACATTGTGTCCCCACTGAATGAAATCAGTGCACTGTCAAAGCTAGTGGGAATACTGCTGTTGTCCTGGGGGGGAGCAGGGCAGGCAGGACAAGCAGAAGCTGTTTAAAAGATTTTGTTATCAAATTACTACTTTCTTGGAGATTTTCAGCTGATATAAGTTGGGGTAAATTAACTACAGAGAAGTTACACATCTTGGTTGTGGAAACCGCATCTCTTATCCTTGGATTCTCAGGCTGTACCTATTTGTGGACTTAATTCGGGCTGTGGATAAAAGTTTTGCTAATGTGATATCTCTCAAAGTACAAAAGTTCGGACTGTTTCTTTATCTGATTATTTTTCTTCCAAAATGGTTTATTCCACCATCAGTTATTTATAAAAGAAATCTTGCCCTACACAGTTCCGGTTACACATTTTTAGAGAAGTAAATAATCTTCTGTTAGCACAAGAGAGAAGAAAAAAAATATGCAAAATATTGTGTTACTTAAGAAAATAATCTTTACCTTTGTGCTTTCATGAAAGCTACTGATTGAAAAAGTTCTACTAGACTTAAATAGCATTGCCAGTTTGAATGCTCAAATTCCCTTTAGCTAATGGGTCATCCACACTCAACGTCAAAGCTCAGGTTTGATATCATGTATGTAGGTTACCTGTACTAGTTACAACCTACCAACTGCATTATGTATCCTAGTTTACAGAATAACTTTATCTCATTTATCAGTGAGACGAGACTTCATATCAGGAAAACTGATAGCCATTGTTTTTTATTACTACTTGCATAGCTCCACATTCACGTCACCTCAGGAACAGCTGTGTTTCAAATTCTCACTGCCTTTGAGCTGTACCCACTTAAACAATTGTGCATTTTGGCTCGGAACGAGAACTCAGAATGACCCACATTTAAAAAAAAATTAAAAAAAAAAAATTCCAAATCCAAAAAGCACAAGGTAATTTTGAAGTAGCTCTACTGCCAAAGTAGTATTAATACAGAGTTCTGCCCAAATTTCTAGCATGCTGCTGTCCTGATGGGCTCTCCGGACAGCTGCAATTGCAGGAGGGGGTTTCTGCCAACATTTCACACAGCCAGGAAAAACAGAAACAGAGGCAGGAGGTTCTGGAAGTATTAACTCATATTTCAGGCAGGGGCAAGACTTTTTTCCCCTCCTTTCTTTCACAGAATCAGAAAAATTGTTTTAAATAGTAGGAAACAGGGAATTCTTACCAGGAATTTTAAGGATGATATATGATATTGGATACCTGAAATTCACCCCCCAGGTCAAGATGACGTATTTTATTTTTAGAGGGACAAAGTGAGAAGTAAGAATCATCACCCGTGTGTGAAGAGGAGGTCGGCAAAAGATGGGAGACTCAGGACTCCCATCCCAAGATGTTCACTTGAACATCTATGGCAAGAATTAATATTTAACTTTACTCTAGTGTTTCCACAGTGCGGTTAGAGAAAGTGCCACTGGGACGAGAAATGCATTTAATGTTTAAAGAGACTTTGACATCTTTTAATCTTTAATCCTCATCAGGTCTCATTAGTTATTGGATGAGCTAGGAAACTGAGTTGCGGCAAAAAGGCTGGAAAAGAACACATATAATTATAAATAATTCAGGGCTGCTAAAACAGACATACTTTACAAAGCAAAGCAAATCTTTTGGGGTGGCAAGTTGTTTGTTTTAAACTGGCCATTGACACATGTTTTAACATCATAAATTTGTGATCAAATGTTTTTGTCCAGTATTGTATGGAGGAGCTTTGTTCCGCTCAAAGAACTTGGCTTTAGCTCCTGGGGCTTTGAGGAGGTTTTCATTGGAAGTGTTTTGGGATGAGGGAGGGAAGGAGAAATTAATTTCTCTTGAGACAGGCACCAGAAAAATCCATTGTTCTAAGTAAGCATCGTTACGAGTCAGCAGGACTCAAGAACTGAGACAGTTGCTGCTGTCCCAGCTGTTCCATTTCCCTTCCCTATCCCTGAGGACCTCAGCCCAGAGGGGTGTGATGTGTACATGAGGCTGATGTATCGACGCAGCTACGCTGTTATGTCATTTTTCCCAGCTCCTGGCATACTTGGATCCTGCCCTGCGAGCACCAATGTGGGAAGCTTTTACAAACGTGTTTTGGTGGGCTCCCTTATACAAAAGCATTCTAGGAACAGGGCTTTCAAAACTCAATCCCTATGCATGCTAGTGGCTTTTACTCAGAAGTCAAGTGAGGTTAATTACTAAACAAGCTGCGTTTCTTACTGCAGCAGCAATCTCATCTCTAGGAACAGCCAAATCTCTTTTCTTTATCCTCACATTAACATTAACTTCCTGAGGCTGGATTTTTAGAGTATCTTCTCTCTTTTCTCTTGTGTTCCTCAGCAGATGATTTTCAGATGGATGTGATTTGATGAAATACATAACAATGAAGTAAAGTTCCTCCTGGGATGAGTGCAAAATTTAGGGAGAGGTATACCTGTGGGGGACACTCCAGCTGTATTAGAACATCTTCCCAGGGATGCAGCGTCTCTTTCTTCCCTAAGATATCTTCAGTAATATAAAGTTGAATTACAGTTTAGATAAGTAATAGAAATGAACTCAGAGTTCATGAAAGCTACAGGAGCTATGACCAAAGATGGTGGCCTCACATTTATCCATTACAAAGGTACAGAACAGTGAAATTTAAGAAAATCCACTAGTATGGTGTTCCTGGACTGCAAGATAAAAACAGGCAAAATAATTGCTCTTTGTACCATTTATGCCTTGTATACTAATTATCTTATCCATGTCTCTGATGCCACGTGTGTTACAAAAGATGTTCTCTGCTCTTGTTTGCAGGTGACAATAGTTGAGGATGCCAGTCCCCTGGCGAATATGCTGCAATAAAAAATCCTGAACTAAGAATGGAAAAGCTGAGACGGACCATATGGCGAAGACAAGTGAAAAAATGCAGATGAAAAAAGAAATCACATTACTAAATGGAGTTTCTTTAATTGTAGGGAACATGATTGGCTCTGGGATATTTGTATCACCCAAAGGTGTTTTAATGTACAGTGCTTCCTATGGACTCTCTCTAGTTGTCTGGGCGCTCGGTGGAATGTTTTCGCTGTTCGGAGCTTTGTGTTACGCAGAATTGGGAACATCCATCCTTAAATCTGGAGCCAGTTATGCCTATATCCTGGAAGCATTTGGTGCCTTTGTGGCCTTCATCAGACTGTGGTCTTCCTTGCTAATTATTGAACCAACAACTCAGGCAGTGATAGCAATCACGTTTGCAAACTACATTGTTCAACCCATTTTTCCTCATTGTGAGCCGCCGTATGATGCAGTCAGGTTGATTGCAGCTGCTTGTATTTGTAAGTAAAGTTATGATTCCTAGAAGTTAAGAACAGTAATTGTGGGTGCCCAGAGGGATTTTTCTGAATTTCTATCCTTTCACCTTCTGTGAAAATAATTGCTGTATCTCCAAAATATGTTCTTAAGAACTAATAATCTTTTATTCAGATGGATTTTATTTGAGACTAGGATTATTAGAGGGTAGAGAAGAATTAGAAAAATTTGGCTTGGGGAAACTATGACTGCTGATTAAAGATACATTAGAATCGTAGAATCATTAAGGTTGGAAAAGACGTCTAAGATCATCGAGTCCAACCATCGCTCCAACACCATCATGCCTGCTAAACCATGTCCTGAAATGCCCCATCTACACGTTTTTTGAACACCTCCAGGGATGGGGACTCAACCACCTCCCTGGGCAGCCTGTTCCAATGCCTGAACACTCTCTCAGTAAAGAAATTTTTCCTAATATCCAATCTAAACCTCGGCTGGCACAACTTGAGGCCATTTCCTCTCATCCTATTGCTAGTTACTTGGGAGAAGAGACCAACACCTGCTTCACTACAACCACCTTTCAGGTGACTAGGTGAGTCACCTGGCCATAGAAGGAGATCAGGTTGGTCAAGCAAGACCTGCCTTTCATGAACCCATGCTGGCTGGGCCTGATACCCTGGTTGTCCTGCACATGCCCAGTGAATGCACTCAGGATGAATCACTCCATAATCTTGCTCAGCACCGAGGTCAGGCTGATGGACCTGTAGTTCCCGGGATCCTACTTCCGGCCCTTCCTGTAGATGGGTGTTACAATGGCGATCCTCTAGTCATCTGGGACCTCCCCTGTTAGCCAGTACTGCTGATAGATGATGGAGAGTGGCTTGGCCAGCTCCTCCACCAGCTCCTTCAGCACTCTTGGGTGGATCCCATCTGGCCCCATAGACTTGTAAGTGTCCAGTTGGCATAGCAGTTCATTAACTTCTTCCTCCTGGATTATAGGAGGTTTATTCTGCTCTCCATCTCTATCTTCCAGCACATATATCTCTATGGATCGTTGGCCTAATTCACAGCCTGCATTTTATCCAAGTCTTCTCTCCCCTTTTTCTTGCAAACCACAAAAAATCAACAAAATTTTTAACATTCATATGGAATTAAAAATACTCTGCCTAATATGAATTTTGTCTCTAGAAAAATTGTGTAGTGTAATCAAACACTCCGCAGAGTTGACTTTGTCATGACCATATACCTTAGGTGACCCCAGGGATAAGTGTTACAAATCTGTCCTCCAGTAGATGAACTGCACTCAGATTCTTTTCCATATAAACATGGATTTGTCAAGATGAGGTACGTGTTCCTTTCAGGGCATGCTATAGCATGATCTTTTAAAAATGGCTTAAATTGTACAACTCAACAAGAATTTCCAACAGGACAAGTAGTTCTAACTTAAGATAATATAATGTGTATTGACAATTGTGAGAAGCTGTTTCCTCTGTAGCCCTGACTCTTGCCACTGTGTTGCAGAGGAAGTTCACTTCTGAAAAAGACTCCATGGTAGAACTTGTGACCATCATGACCACTCAGTGATCTAAAAGGCAATTAATCCTATTCCAAAAGACTTTGTCAGGAGAAATTCTCCACTTGCACAGGAAAGCAGTTATTTATTAGATCAAAATTTCTTTTCCCAGTGTTCACCTCATGAAATCCTAACACTTGAGAAGTCTTCAAATGCTGACATATCTGTAAACCTTCATTTTCTTCCTGTAGTTTTCATGTGAATCAGCTGTGTGCTCTAGCACCTCTGATTTCTGAGCTGGTGCCCAACGTGTGGCTCACAGCTGCTGCTTTCTCATACAGCAAATTAGTTGCCTCACCACTGACCAGGCTTAGCATAGCATTTTGAGTAACAGCCCAGATTGCAGGGAAAATTACCGTGTATTAGATTAATTGTGATATGCAATAGAGCAATGTCAGATAGCAAAATTATTACTAGCTTGAACAATTTTGATAAGATTCAGGAGCATGGATTTGATTGGCTGTTCACCAATATAGTGGAGAAAACTTATTTAAATCTGTATATATGTTTAGTAGAATTTACTGGGAGTTCCATTGCAAGATCCCATTGCCTTGAATTTAATTACACTCTGCAGCACATGACACATGTCATGTCATATACACATGCAGTAACTATATCCTTTGCAGTGTTCCAAACAGCACTTTGTAGCATCACAAACAATTCCTAAATGTTGAGTACTAAAAACTTCAGTCAACACTTACTGTATAGTTTTTAAAACAGACCTATAATTCTAACTGTTACTGATATATACTACTGTACTTTTAAGAAAGAGGTCTATTGTTAATTTCTACTGAGGACATTTTTTTAAATTACGGAGCATAAAATCTTATTTCAATGTATAAGCCACATTTACTACCGTAAGTTTTACAGCAATCATTTATTTACAGACATGTTTAAAACTATATTTAAACCTGAGACTAAGCAGGAACAATCATTCTGTAACCTGTTGGGTTTTTTATGTAGTGGAATAAAAATAAAATTACATCTCTATTGCACAACTTTAGTCTATTAACAGGAAACAGTGGGGGCAAGTCAGCTCCTGTTTCTGTAAATAGGTCTATTATTGCCTTGACAGCTGTCAGGACACTGTCAAATATGCAGAATCACTCATGACTCGCCTTGAATGAAGGCAAGAGGTTCTGTGAGTGCCTGTGGTTGGATGCTAATTTCCTTGCTATATAGAAAGGTTTCTATATGGTTTTTGTTTTAAGCACTACAAACCCCTTTTTCTTCCTTTCAAAACTGAAATGTAGATTATAGGCAGGTGAAGGTAACAGCAGCAAAGACCAGCAAGACTGCTAGAGAAGAAATAGTCCTTTATAATCCATGCTTGAGAGCACTCTGGACAACCCATGCCACATTTGTCCCGCTGTCTTCTCCAGCAGCTGAGCTTCATACCTGGTTCCAGTGCGTAGCCTTTCCTTTCCTGGTCTACCTCCGTTTTGAATTATGGAGCTGCAAGAGGGATAAAGTTGCCCATGATGCTGTATGTGTGTGCTAGAGCGAGAGGAGGTGGGCACGTGGCTTGGCGCCGGGCTGGACATGGCGCTTATCACAGCGTGCTGTGTTAGCTGCCCATCGGGGTTTAACTTCGGAATGCGAAGAATATGACAGAAGGAGGAAAGGAGAACGAGTTGATCCCACCAACTCTCTGCAACCACGCTACTTTGTTATTTCTATTAGATTCTGTCAAAATTGAGGCTTGAGAAAACTGCAAGTAAGTACTTCTGTAATCTTCAGACTTGGAGTCAAAGCGTGAATGGCACAGCTCCTAAGCCAGGGGCACAGAACAACAGCATGCTGGCCTGGCTCAATCCAGTACCTTGTCAATCACATCCAAACTTTTTGGTGCAGAAGCTGTCCTTACTCTGTATTTAGACTAGAGCTCAAATTGGCAGGGAGAACTTCAGGAAAAACTTGAGCACAAATAAAAAATCTAGAGAAATCTCACCTTCTGCATTTGAGCAATTCTCCTGGCTTTAATAAAATTGAAAAATTATTTAAAAGGAGGAGGAGTCAGTCCTAAAATTCAAAATCTAATGTGTTTTTTCTTACCTACTATCATGAAAACAGTGTCCTTCAAAAAATTATTGTGTAATTTTTCAATCAGGCATTTCATTTGTTTTAATAAATCTAGGTGGTCCTGAAATGGTGAAATTTGATTCTGTTTTATTTATTGAGAGAGGGGTGGTATCTGGAAGGATGTATTTGAAATGTATTTTATGTGATGTAAAATATCAGTGCTCCTCTCATGCATATTCTTTGTCTCTACAGGTTCCTTAACATTTATTAATTGTGTTAATGTGAAGTGGGGTACCCGTGTACAAGATGTTTTTACATATGCAAAACTTATAGCTCTTATCTTGGTGATATCTGTTGGCCTTTACAAAATTGGTAAAGGTAAAAATATTTTTCATTTACTGAACTTCTTAAAAATGAACCGTGTATGAGTTTCAAAATCTGTGCAGGAAGATCAGACTCCTTAAGACTTACATATGGTGTGTCGCTTATTCTGGAAGAAACTGTCTGCCACAAGAAGATCAGAGGAATTTTATGGCTTGTCAAGCAATGAGGGTTTAATTATTCTTCTGTCCTTGGTGTGGCAAACCAGCACACACCAAGTTCTGCTTTGTTCGGGCTGAATAGGAAGTAGCAGCTGAATCAACATCAGTTTAGCGCTAACTGGTCTAAAGTCAGCCTCCCTGTCTCTGACTCACAGTCATTAAAGGCTAGCATTGCTACTTCTACACCAGGATGGCACCACAGAAATTGCCGGGCGCATTCTTTGCATCCGTCCTCAGCCCTGCCCGTGGCCGGGAGCCTGCGCAGCACCCTGCAAGGGGAGAGGATGGGGGAAAGGGAGGAACTCGTCCTTGCCTTCACGGGTGAAAGGGCGTGCTTGTCCCTAGAAACAAGGGAGAAGACTGTAAGACTCAGTCCTGTGAATCACTGTGGTATCGTAAGACATCACAGGACAGATGAGCCACCTCCTCTCAGTAGTATCTGGACTGAACTGAATACACTGAAAAGCAGGAGACTAGTTTATTCTGGTGCTACCTCTGATCTTTGCATGTGACAATAGATTTGATTTTATTAATTTGGGTCTCTGGTGCAGTGAAGTCTCTTCCAGCTCTAGCTCTGTTGCTTAGTTACTAAGGTTTCTTCATTTTCCTTTCCCATGAAATTCCTAAATAGCCATTGTATCTTCATTAAGTTAAAATAAAGATGGTTTTGCCTCTTCAGTTTAGGAATTGTCTTTTGCTGAAATTAGCTTATAAAACCTAAGGAGCACGCTTGCTTTCCATGTTTGCCAGCATTCTACTTTCCTTGGCTGCAGTTCTAGTGCATCAGCTGTTACGCTGTAAAGCTACACCAGAGTTTAGGAGAGCTTTTTTTGTTTAGCCATTATCCACGCGTGTCAGTTGTCACTGGTTTCTTCAAATCTAAAGAAACCTGAACAAACCAACCTAGTTCTAAGGGCAAGAACATGAAGATGCAGAGGAAAAGCATTACTTCAGGGCTACGGTTACATGAAGGAGTAGTTCCCTTCACAAAGCCACTGCAGTGCTACAAAGGTGTGAGTCCGTGATGTCACCCCTGTAGCAGCTTCGCCCTGTCCCCACAGTCACAAATTTACCCACGCTTCGAAATCGCTCCCTTCAAAACTCCCAGCCCGGTCACTGCCGCGCAGCTGCCATGATGCGGTTTGGCCCGCAGCCGCTCCCCCTGTCCGTGCATCCACAGAACCCACGCCGGGTCCTTTGTGTTTCCCCGTGGGATCAGGGGGGGTCCAGGCGGAGAGGAAACCTTATTGTGAGTAACGCAAAATGCTGAGGGATTTAGGGTAGTAAAGGTCTCGTCTCTGCTTTGTTTAAGCAGAACTAAGCACTTGAATACAGAAAGGTCTGGGAGGAGGAATGATGTAGACTTAGGGGGAAGCTATGATCGGGTCAATGCACTCTTTTAAACTCAGCAGCTGTTTTAATGAAAAGAATGTCCCTGCTCATTGCAGGGGAGTTGGAACTAGATGATCTTTAAGGTCCCTTCCAACCCAAACCATTCTATGATTCTATTCTAATGGTTATGATGTTTTAGCCCTGCTGTACTCCTTCTGATGTGCTCAGATACCCCTCTTGTTTTAGAACACTGTGAATGTATCTGATTTTGAGTAGGGGCTGTCTTTAATAAAAAAATCTTTCCTTGGCCCTTTTGGATTTTTAGTTTTTTTCCTTCCAACCGTTTTCTTCCCCAAAGTGCGTGTACATCTCACAGCTTCACCTTCCTCGGTTCAGTCAGTCTCCTGCTCTTGACTGAATTGCTTTTGTGGTATCTAGAAACTCCTTAGTTTAACCATAGGGTGAAGTTGTTTCATTTTATAACAAAAAGACCTTACTTTCTTCCCTAATAAAGGTTTCAGCATGTTTCTGTCTTCCTTAACGCTTAAACCCACTTCCACTTATATTAGATAGTTAATTTTCCTTCTGCGCACTGTAAGGCCTTTCTTCCCCTTTCCTGAATCACAGTGAAGGCTCGCACTGTTTCCTTAACATTTTGTCTGTTTTGCAGCATTCTGCAGGCTGTTGTCTCCACTGATTGAGCTAAACTAGAGGACGATTTTGAAAGGAAAGGTTTTTCAAGTCTCCTCTCTTAATTTTTGGGAACACCTTTGTGGGGCAGAGCATCCCACTGAGGACCATGCCTTCAGGAGTTCCCCCCCGCCCAGTGGCCACCAATTCATCTGGTGAAAACAAAAGCACAGATATGAGGAAGAAATGTGAGACAGATTCAGGAACTGAAATTGGGTTTCCCAATTGCCTCTGCCTGGCTGACAGGGCATAGAATGACCTGAGTATGGCTCCCTCCTTCAGCAGACTAGACAATGATGCCAGGAGGCGAGGATGCCGTCAGTTCTGGTAGAATTACACAAGTTACATTCAAATAACAGACACGGGAAAACATCTGCTGTCTCCCTGCACAAGTGTTGCTGTCTGAACATCTGGCTGAAACTTTCCTATCTGTCAAGTGAAAATACAAGCTGTGCATTTTTAGAAATACTAATGAAACCTGGATGCAGTGGGGTCTTATTTCCTTTCGGTTAGCTGAGACTTTTAGTGTAGTGTCCTTCTACATCATAGTCCTTGCAACGTAATGGGTGATTGGTGCCTGCCGTTTGTACAGGAGAAACAGAAAACCTGAGGGCTCCATTCGAGGGCTCAGCAGCCAACCCAGGGATGATCGCGCTGGCGCTCTACTCTGCCCTCTTCTCCTACTCGGGGTGGGACACGCTCAACTACGTCACCGAGGAGATGCAGAATCCCAAGAGGTAAACGCATGCTTTTCCTTTGAATCGCTGAAGTGTCCTGGTAAGACACGTGATGGCATGACAAACTGCTCCGTATTTGTTTCTGGTTGGAAATCAGTCAGACTGTTTTCTCTGAAAAAAACTTCTTCTTTTCAACCGAAGGGGTAAGTATGAGAGCTCTTTCTGATTATTGTCCTCACTCACCAATTGTATCACCCTAATAAATCACACCTTACACTTCAGACTGGAGTTTTTAAATGAGGAAAACAAATCCCTGCTGAAAGCAGAGAAAAAATTGGGTCCACCTAACCCTCTAAAATTCCCTACTTCTTTTCAGTCAGACAGAAAAATTATTTTATTTTTCCAGGCCTGCTTTTGCCGCCAGTAGAGTAAGACTTTGTCAGGTTTATGACTGTTTTATCATGTGATCTTCAGCATTACTGTTTATGGGCAAAATGTTTAATTTTGCTAAAAATGAAAGGTTAAGTAAAAAATAAAGAAGTCCACAGCAGCACTGGAAATACCATCTCCTCCCCCCTGTAGGGATGTCAACCCTGTGGGAGTTGTGTGCCTCACCTACTCAGACTGATACACTCCACCTTGGCTTGGGAGATACATAGGTTATCAGTCAGGAAAAAAAAAGCTACGATCAAGAAAACACCTAAGTGAGCATTTAAATCTCATTGCCTAAGTGCTCTCTTAAATTGCTTCATATAAAAGACAGTGTATAAAATTTACACATATAAATGTACATTTTTTTCTGTGAAACTTGTGACAGACCCACAAGCAGTCAATTAAGTCATTTATGCAATTGTTCCAGACATGGCTGCATGTTATTTTGTACACCCATGATTGCAAAATGATGAATTACAAAAAGTGATGGAGGTACCCATTCACAAATGTTTGAATTCAGGACCAATCTTCTAGTTAAATATTCCTTATTTAAAGAACATGAAATAATTTTGCCACTTTCCTTTTGCAGGAATCTACCTCTTTCTATTGCAATTTCAATGCCTATCGTGACTGTTACTTACTTGTTGACTAATATAGCATACTATGTGGTGTTGGACATGTCAGATCTCCTCGCAAGTGATGCAGTGGCTGTGGTAAGTTGTATAAAATAATTAAAACAAAAGTTACTGTATGGATGGCGCTGCAGAAGAATCTCAGGCAGCTTACTTCTTGGCAAAACAATTGAAATATTTTCTTGTTGAAGGTTATTGATTTGTTTTAAAGTTTGTTTTCATGTAAAAGTACCAGTATGTTAGAAGGTGCGTATAAAGAATATATCCAATAAATCTGCTTTTGTAAAATTCATAAGTACTCTGTAAATCCTGCTCCTAAACAGTGCTTGATTGTAGCAGATGCTTTTGCCAGGGCCAGACAGAGACCAAGCTATGGAAAGTCTGGGTGGTTTAAGAACCTGGGATTTTTGCTATCATTCTAATGTACAGTGTGTGACGTTTAATGCTGCAGGATCACAGCAGTATTTCCAATGCAAAAATGTGCAGTGAAATGCTTTTTAAAACCTTATCAATACTTTATACAAAAGTACAATTATAACTCATGAAGTACTACAGTCAGGATTTGTCAGAATACCTTAAAGCCAGTACATCTTCTTCTGTTACCTCATTGACTTGATCTAAGCTTAGAAATTTTTTTAAAATCTTTTTTCAATGTATCTGCCATTTTTATTTTGATATTGATCAGTATGTCCAAATTCTAATGTCCCAAGTCATAAGAAAGCATGGGCTATGACAGTATATTTGGGCTGCTGTGTTTTCATGAGAGTTCCTCAGGATTGTCCACATGCTTAACGTAATGGGCCTCACTATTATTTTCTTTTTCTGTTACAGACGTATGGCAATGAAACCCTTAGTTATGCTAAGTGGGTAATTCCTATAGCAGTGGCCATGTCTTGCTATAGTGGCTTAAACTCATCAATAATTGCAGCATCTAGGTATGAAATGTAAGGTTTATTTTAAATAACTGAAAAGGAATAATTTATTATGAATCTGCATTCTTTAGTACTACATTGTAAAAGTGACACAGTTAATTTTTGCCATGTCAAATTGTTCATTTATGAGGGAAGGATTATTACTGATCTAGAGTGTCTTCTCATGGCCAGCACCAGTTGGTAAACTAAAGGCACTTGAGAAGAGATCAGCATTTACAATAGAGCAATAAAATAATAAGTGCTGCCTTTGTTGGAAAGCAACAACATACTCCTTGGCTCACTGTCTGTTTGAGTTTTCTTATTATTTTTTCAGGCTTTTTTACATTGGAGCCAGGGAAGGACACCTCCCTGACAGTCTGAGCTTGATTCACATCAAGTGCTTCACACCAGTCCCTGCTCTCCTCTTCAACGTAAGCCCCAGCCCAGCCCCGTGCCCGGCCGGGGCAGCTGGAGGTTTGGACCTGGGGACCGCAATGCCTCGCCTCTCCCCACATTTCTCCCAGGCTTCTCCTGTGCTGGAGAAATCTTCCTCAAATTTCTAAAGCTCACTGAGGCGGGGAGGGGGAGCTGGTATTTTGTCTGGTGGCGGGTTTTTCAGTGGAAAGAGAATAGCTTGACTCACATTTATATGCTCTGTGAACAAGATTAGTCAGGATTAAATACAATAGCGTTAGTGAGAAAACAGGATGACTAAATATGTAACAGTATAGACAGGAGTTGCTTAAGTCTTTATGTGAGTTTTCAGTGACCATTGGAGAAGAATATGGCAGGAACATCTCTCAGACCCTGCCGCAGGCTGATTTTCTAGGACTCTAGTTATGTCAGGAGTGACAAAGCATTTAAAATTAAATTCCTACCATTGAATGCCTATGCCCATATTGATTTTTTCCCACTGTCACTATACAACTGAATCTTGTGACGCAAGTTGAGGAACCATAAGGTATAGAATAGTGCAAATGATTTTAATAAATAATCCATAAATCTAACAGAAGGAGGAGGTTATGCACAGAACAGGTGGAATCATTCAAAAGCATTTCACTACTATTTGAACACGTGTTTTGTTTGGTGTTTCCCTTTGCCCTGTTTTCCATGAGGTGTATGAACAGATTATCATACTGGTCCTGTTTGACATCAAATAATTTGCTAGAAGTTATAATCTCATTGTGAATACTTTTCTCAGAGGGATTCTGTTTGCACCCATAAGATAAGCTATACTCCCATAACACACCACCATTAACATTTTTCACAGTAGAATATTTTTGTGTTCATCAAAAGAGAACTGTAGTCTTATGTTTGTCATATTTGTTAAAACAGGCATTACATTCCTGGTATTTTAGGTCTCACTTCACCCTTTCCATGTGGATAGTATAGTATACCTGCATACCACGGAATTTACTCTAATGGTCTCAATGTATGAGTGGACCATGAGAGCCTCCAACAATGAAACTAAATTTAAACTTTCCTTCCAAACTGAAGCCAGCCAGAACAGCAGAGTAAGCTGCTGCCTACAGAAAGCTTCTCAGCAGCCTTCTCCATAGCGCAGCAGAGGCTGGGGCTCCTCATCTGGCCTTCTTAGGAGGGTTTCCTGCTGGTGCTCAAACATAACTTCACAAAACCTAGACCGCTTCAGCCAAACATGGTGGTCTCACTGCTGCATTTAAGGAAGACATACCAGCACGTTTCATACAGCATATTTGCATATTTCTCAGTTTTAGGTACATCCCTCTTGCAAGGACCAGATCTCCTAAGTCCAGACAAATATGTTGGAAATAGGCCATTTTGTAACTTTACTACCTCTTTATTTTGTAAGACATGTATTTATTTTTACATTAAACAGTCTTTGTTTTTATTTTCTCTAGGGTTTAATGACTTTGCTTTATCTTCTTGTGGAAGATGTTTTCCTTCTCATTAATTACTACTGCTTCAACTACTGGCTCTTTGTGGGTCTGTCAGTTGCAGGACTAATATATTTGAGATATACTCAGCCACACAGACCACGGCCTATTAAAGTAAGTAAACAAGAGAGGAAACAAGTCCTAGAAGCCAGCTAATGCACATATTTGTGTGATCCTTAATACCACAACCATAACAATACCAGTTATGTTATAGACTATTTATCAGCCATAGAAATCCTTTCAACAAGATAAGAAATGAAGGAGCAAAACCCATTTGAGTTTCCACAAAGAACATCTGTTCTGGTACTTTTTCTGTGAGGTTGAAATTATATTTACCATTTCTTTTTTCCTTTCATTGGATCTTGTAACTGTCTCTATGTCAAAATAAATAAGGAATAAATAAATGCCTGGGGTTCTCAGTCCATCCTAGAACAACCCTCATTTGTTTTGTTCACAGCGGACCTCAGTAGAGCTAGGACGGGGACTCTAGTGACGTTCACACTCTGATCAAACTTACATGACTTAACAAATTCAGTAAAACCTCTCCAAAACCCATAAATGCCAAAAATTCTGCTTATGTAGAAGTTAAAAAGCTCAAATAATCAAATATATTTTGATTGTTCCCTTCCACTGCATAGTGATCATAGACAGTAAAATGCAAGTTTAGTGGCTGACTGTAGAAGAGTGTCTGGCTATCAGTTAGAAGAGGGAGACTGCACAGAAACAAAGCATGCCCAAAACTTGTTTCTACCTTTAATCCAGTGATTGTCCAGAAGGCAGGGACAGAAATGCACAGCTTCCCCTGGGCACACAAAACCACGCACTGGCACCTGTTGCCCTGTGCTCTTTTGGCTCCACAACTTGCATTTCAGCTCTGCAGTGATGCAGTATAATTATCAGAAATCCAAATTAACAACCTATCTAAATATTTCTTCCTTGTCACTCTCTGTTCCTAACCTCCAGCACCATTTTTACCAACATATTTTTTTCCCATTTAAGCGTAACATCCTGATTATAAAAAAACATGACTCAAACAAAGGCATAAAATATCCTATTCCAGTCTTCCAAAGCAGACCAAATTTTCCTGAATCATTTTCATTTCCAAACTCTTCCCCAAAGTATGTGGAAGATAAAGACTGAATCTTGCCTTACTGGCACTTTTGTTATTGACTCTGCTAAAACAGGGATTACAGTCAAATTATAGATAATGATTGGTTAATTCCTATCAGCATTTGCCAGCCTATTCAACATCATGACTCCATATACGCTTATTCCTTTTATGAAACGTAACAGTTGGTTTTCATCAACTTACATTTTTAACATTTGTAAGGAAAAAGAAATATTTATACTAGTAAACTTCTAGGAGTTTCAGCTAGCATTCAAATGTCAGATCCTGGACTCTTGAGAAGGCTCATTACTACAGCCAGTGAAAAATATTTCAGTGAAAAATAAATCAATACAGAGTTTGTTGTAACTTTTCTTATCTATGGTATGATATTTGTTAAGTGCCCAGAAAAAATGTTTGTACGTCAGTCTGTTGGTTCCATAGCATCGACATGGTAATTTAAAGTCTAGATGAGTTAGCTCCCAATCATCAAACTTACAATTTAAAATTTGTAATTGAAGTTAGAGGGAAAACTAGCCATTGCTGCTTAGTTTTAAAGTACTGCTTTCAAAGATTGATCTCTTACTAATGTGGAAAGGAACCAAGCTTCTGCAGGCCTGAAAAGAACAAAATCATAGAATGCTTTGAGTTGGAAAGGACCTTTAGAGGTCATGGTCAGATACTCAGGTGTGTACCAGATAAGAAGCTCTCAGCAGCGTACACAGAAGCTAACAAATTGTACTGACAGTCGGCAGTCAAAAGATTCAATACATAGTAGTGAGATAGTCAATAGTTATGTTTTTGTTATTGACTTGTCTAATTTTAATCTGCATAGCCTGACAGTAGAATATTTACTGCATCTTTTAATAAATGTTGGATTTTTTTTTTTGTCTCCACAGCTTAACCTCTTCTTCCCTATAGTATACTGTTTATGTTCCCTTTTCCTGGTCATAGTTCCTCTCTACAGTGACACAGTCAATTCCCTTATTGGAATCGGTATTGCCCTCTCAGGCATACCTACATATTATTTGGGAGTGTATTTGCCAGTTGGAAAACGACCTAAATGTCTACAGTGGCTCTCTGGTAAGCAACATCATCTTATCCTAGTCAGTGTGCCAAAATCTCGAATGCTTGGTCAGAAGACAGAAAGAATAACTTTTCCTAGAATCTTTTTTCCTTATGAAGTTTTACTATGCTGTATATGGCATGTCTGAGATCATTTGCTTCATCACATGGTCCTGAAAACCATGCATATCTGTACAAAACAGTCCACTATGTGAATACATGTGGTCATTTAGTATTTGTGGTGTTGAGCCATCTCAAGATATTGGCTCAGTAAGAGGCATGTAGGATTGTGAAGAGTAAATGCATGCAGTTTGATACCCTGGAAAACAGAAATACCAGGACACCGTTGCTTCACTTTCTGCCCAAGGAGTGGAACATGTGAGTCATGGAAGTCCATGAATTTTTGTAAATTATGAAATGAATTACTGACCTGAAGGGTAGTTTCCACTCCTCAAATTCAGGCAATCTTGAAAAGGTTAATATTAATGTTAAGATTTTTATTCATTTTGAACTCAGCTGCCAATCGAACAATTCAATGAATATGTTGATGAAAGTCTGATTAAATGAGACTTTGTGTTTAATTATTGAGCTTCTTTTGCCTTTACCTATTTATAATGTGGGCTTAATCCTATTGATTAAGGTATTTGAAGATTTTCCTAATATCTGTGTACTGCTTTTAAATCCAAAGATATAACTTTGTCTCACATTTTTTACTATGTATTACAGCTACAACAACAAAATATGTTCAGATGCTCTTCTACTGTGCTCTGTCGGACCTGGACACAGACATAGAACCTACAGCAGCTAACAGTAAATAGCGTTGCCTTGACATTGCGAGTTGCACCTTGACATTTTCTTTCTGGAGCAATTTTTATCATCTGAAGTCCTCCCAATTTGTTCAGTTATACTAAAGCTCTAACCGCTGTACTATGCATCAGTGTGATGTCTGTTAATTTGTGCTTGTTTTATAAACTATTCAGTTTTACAGGATTTAAAAAAAAGAAACAACTGTTTGTTAATAGTGAGTTATGTAACACTTTGAAACTATAAAGCACTCTATGAACAAACACTTTTTAGTAGATAAGGGCTAAATATTAGATTCATTGCAAAATAGTGATAAAAAGTATTAGGTCTAGTCAAAATCCAAAGAAATAAATTGATAAATATAACAAAAGACAGACCAGATATTTGTAAGACTCAAAACCTGTGTTGAGAAGTAGAAGCTGCAGAGTACTTCTAAAAATATAACTATAGTCTAAGCCAAAGTAAAAAATATGTAATTCAAAGTGGTAGATGTGCTTTGAGTCAATGCGGTATTTAGTGGTAAACTATTCTAATGCATAATTCCTGCCATAAATATTGTACCAAAAGGAGAAAATCAAAGTTTTCAGTTGTTTAAATTCTGTTAGAAATTCTCATTTCACTATATACCACATTCATTACTCTTTTGCAGAAGAGGTATTTTCGACAGACGAATTGTTCCATTCTAACTGAAGTACTTTTGCTTTCCAGCAGAACAACCTGCCATGGAGCACTGTAAGGGACTGAGTCATGTTCCAGCTAGAGTATATTTAGGGAAAACACATCACCTTTTCATAGTGTCCATTGCTTGCCTAGAAGCATCAAAGGTGGGACCCCATGAATCATACTGTTTTTTTCCACAGTGGAACTAATTTAAGGAATTCACAAGGAGACATTAAAAACCATTCATGTTTACAAAATCCCTTGAGCCCCTGCCCAGCCTTTCATGCCTCCCCTGTTCCTGCTGGCAGGGTAACTTGCAGGTCTCCTACTGAGCACACAGAGAGCCTCTAGCACCGGCTGCCAGACCTTCCCCATCATGTGGGTGGTGGCCATTGCACAGTACCCAGCACAGGCGCATGCGCTGGCCAAGGGCACTTACCCCTGGGTGCCATGAAAGCAAAGGGCAGTTGAGGGCTAGGATCATTCTTGTGAACATTAAGTTTTTCAGTGTGGCACATGGGAATGTGCAACTAATCCTCATTCTTGGTCTCCTGAAATCGAAGAGAGAATAACTGTCATTAAAAAGAAAAAGCCATCAGCCTCACAACCTAGACTGTAAAAACAGCTGCTCTGGCTCTCATATGCTTTGTTGATACGTAGCACTGTTTGTTATCCGTGGTGGCAAGTCGTACCTCCTTTCTGTAATTATATTTGAATATACGTACTCTTCACACACACAACACATGCCTCTGTGACAGGACGGCACCATTTTGATCCTGCTTTACGATTGCATGGAAATATTGCGTTTTTGCTCCATCTCTCGTGCAGCACTGGTTAACAACAGAGCTGCGGTCCCAGGCTGTATCAGGGCAAACAATGGGTACAAAACCTACAAGTTGGTACCAAACTAAATATGACAGTCTTTGCCTCCACAGAGTTCAAAGTCATGCTTGGTGCTGAGGTATGTGTCACACCAAGACAGCACTGTACGATCTTCTGAAGGTTTTCCTTGCAGAACCAAGGTTACTAAGTGATTTCAGACACCTGCGATGACATCTTGGGTGGTAACAGACAGCAGGTACTACAGCTAGTGTAATAAGGACTACTGACAAAGACCATTTCCATAGAAAATTCTAAGAAACTTCTTTCTTTGTCTGTTTTTTGCCAAATCCGTTTTTTCATTAGTCTGTTAACTTTCTTGACATGACACACAAACCTTCATTTTCTTTCTTTCTGGACAGAAAGAGAACAGTAGTCAGATGCAAGGTTACAAATGTGAATAATATTATTGACATTGTCTATGGACAACAGGATCTTAGAAATGTTAATGTTTTTGTTGATTTTTCACTCCTTACAAATAATACATGTAAGTTATTGTCAAACATCTAAAGCAAGTCATAGATGCTTAAGTATTTAAATTAATAAATATTTGATCTTTGGCAAATGCTATAGTTGTGTGGTTTTAAAGCATAAAAATAGTATTGTGAATGAAATTTGCCCTGCCTTACATCTCACAAGGTGGTTTGCCAGGAGAGCAATGAGACTCTAAGTCTTGTTTGTGTTCTCTGTAACACAACAAAATCAACATTTATGGAAGGAAAAAATTCTGGTTGCTTCACGTGGGACTCTTTCTCACTGCAGTTATGAGCAATTCTTAACCCAAACACTTTCTTGTTCTAAGAGTAAATACATCTTTTTACATGATTTTTACACAGATGCTCAGTTACGCAGTCAAACAATAAACAGTTTTACTTTTTCAGAGACGGTCTTGGCATCCAGGCTAATTATCTTGTCATTACATAACAAAACATTATGCTGAGGCATTTGACATCTAGTTTGTCAGCTGGTATCTCTGGGGTGGAAGGGACTGGGGTAAGCAGAACACTGGATGCCTTTGGAAGATGTAGCACGTGGAGGTGCAGGCTGCGCTGCAATGCGTAACGGGAGCCTGGAAGGCTGCAGGGACAAGAAACCCTGGACAACAGCCCACCTGTGGACCTGGGGAAGGGTCTTTCAGCAGCAAAGGCTGGGGCAATACAGTACTTGGGAGCAGCATTACTTGGGAGTAGTAGCTCTTCTTTAGGAATCAACAACATACAGGATTCTTGCTTTTTATGAAGAATCACAGTTCTTCGAATAAAAACAGGAGAAAGGAATTGGTATCAGATTCCGTTTCTTTGTCAGCAAAGGAAAACAGAAGTTGGTGTTGACAGAGGAAAGACTATCACCCACAGAAAGTCTGCAGATGTCTGGACTTTGCATGAGCCTGAAGGGCTGTTGTGTGCTCCGTGGCTACAGAGGTGAAATGCCTTCACACATTAGGTAGGACAAGGGTATTGAAGTGTGAAACAACCTGAAAGATGCATGACCTGACAGCGGACCAGGTAGCAGCTCCGTTACAGGACAAAGTGCCTTCAGAACACGTGTGACTTGAAACTTAAGACACTTCCTTTCTTGAAATTTACCTTTGTTGTGTAACAGGAACTTTTGAAGTATTATCGCACAATCTCTGAATCTGGAATACTAGATCTGTTAAGTCCCTTTTCTCTAGCTGATAAACTATCAGGTTTTGGAGTGCTATAATTTTGCAAGTGGCTCAAAAGCTCTGAAATTAAAAAAAAAAAAAGAAAGGCAAATGAAGAAAATAAAATGCAAACCTAAACAAGATGCCACACAGTAAGGGGAGAGTAAACTCTTTCTCTGGATTATAACTACAAGAAATCAGAAGTGCTTATTTAGGAACACACATTTAATGTAACGGGTATCACTGAAAAGCACAAAAGATGAGTGGGCTACTGAAATGTCCGGTTATTAGCTGCCTAGTAAGGTCACTATGAGAGTCAAAGGAAGGGAGTGGAATTTAGTTTACATGACCACAATTTTGAAACAGGAGAGGTCAACATCAAAGCAAATGATCATGAGTTGATCCTCTTCTAACAGGAAGAATAAACGAGAATTAATTGGTTCATGCTACAATTCAATAGAAAACATAGTAGAAATTAGTAGGTGTTTAAAGATCTGGTCGCCCAAAATGTGCTATGTCTAGTGATGGAACTGAATACATTTCAGCATACAAACAGAACAAAGATTAATTCAGCAAAATATTTACATAGTTCTCAGAAATGTTCACTTCACAGAGCCAAAAACAACTGTGAGCCCCACCTGCTGGAAGGAGGGCAAAGAGAGTTTAAACTGGAAAAAAAACCTGCTTGGAGCTGGTTAAGAGCATTCTGCCTACATGCAGACAGCAGAAAAAAGAAAGGAACATGCTTTAGTTTAAAACTGTAATAAATCTTTCCTCTTTAGAGAGGAAGTATGAGTCACAGAATCACAGAATGGTAGGGTTTGGAAGGGAGCTCTGTGGGTCATCTAGTCCAGCCCCCGTGCCGAAACTGGGTCACCTACAGCAGGCTGCACAGGACCGTGTCCAGGTGGGTCTTGAATATCTCCAGAGAAGGAGACTTCACAGCCTCCCTGGGCAGCCTGTTCCAGTGCTCCGTCACCCTCAGAGGGAAGAAGTTCTTCCTCATGTCCAGACGGAACTTCCTGTGCTTCAGTTTGTGCCCATTGCCCCTTGTCCTGTCGCTGGGCACCACTGAAAAGGGTCTGGCCCCATCCTCTTAACACCCACCCTTGAGATATTTATAGGCATTTATTAGGTCCCCTCGCAGCCTTCTCTTCTTCAGGCTGAACAAGCCCAGCTCCCTCAGCCTTTCCCCATAGGAGAGATGCTCCAGTCCCCTCATCATCCTCATAGCCCTCTGCTGGACTCTCTCCAGTAGCTCCTCATCTTTCTTGAACTGGTGAGCCCAGAAGAAGCATCATTTAGAAATAGAAGAAAGACAAATTTGATGGTAATAACCATGATTTCCAGGACAAGCTGCTGAGCAAGACACATGACCCATTTAGATGTGCTTCTACAGTAGCACAAAATAGAAAATTCAGAACCTGGTTGCAATGACACAGTATGTGCTCGGGTCAAAATATGCTCTTTATGGTGATATTACCTTATTTCTGATTAGCCATTGCTCTTGCGCATACCACGTCATCACATAGGGAAATCTGCAAATTAAATTCACATTTCTCTTGCTGTCTTAGGAGTTAGATCCCATCTGGCTCCGAGTGTGTGTGGTCATAGAAGCAGAATTTAAAATTTCTAGTGGAGATACATTTATCTCCACAAGAGGGAGAACTCCTTTGCTTGATGCTCTTGAGAAAGAGAGCGGGTTGTTTTGAGACCTTCTGCTCAGAGCAGCAGAACCAGAGCAACGTGTATATTCCCACCCATAGCAAGAGTCCTGAGAAGGACAGGCTTAGCTCCAGAGAAGAGCATCAGCTACGTGTTCTGAGTAATGCTGAACAACAGCCTGCTGCAAATTCAGATGAAGATGGGGTTTAAGTTCAAACGTTCGTCTTTCGTTATAGGATTGCCTTCATGTCTGTAGCAGAAGACAGATTTTCTCATCCTGGCTGTTTCCTATATGTAATACCGTATATGAATACCTAATT